CTCCGGACGCGAATAGCCGAGCATGCAGCGGCGGTGAGGAACAAAGACGCGAACTCCCAGGCTGCAGCTCACTCAACAGGACCCGACCATATTTTCAAGTTTAATGAGGCCGAAATCGTCGCATCAGATGACAACCACGTGAGCCGTAAGATGCTCGGGTCATGGTTCACAGGCCCCATTCATTCGAGACTGACTATACTTCAGTAAGGAGGGGGGGCCTGTTCTGGTCTCTTGTTTAATGGTTAATTTTTTAGATAGTATGCCCACCTAGGCATAGTCGAAATCCCGATTTCCCCTTGTCGGTCAGCTACACAGCAGCGGCCAGTTATAATGTAAGTAGTGCCTGTCAATCCAGTATTTGTAGAAGTAGTAATAGTAGTATCGTTCACCACATCTTTTACTGTACCTTTTGTGTAACCAAAGCCTGGCTGAGTACTCCGACGAGAACATGATGGACCCCTACAATCTGGCCATTTGCTTCGGTCCTACGTTGATGCCAGCACCACCGGGGCTGGACCAGGTGGAGTACCAGACAAGCGTGAACGAGGTTGTGAAGACCTTCATCGCACACCACACTGAGATCTTCGATCAGCAGGTGCCAGGCCCGCGTTACGAGAAGTACACGTACATACCGCAGGTCCTAGCGCGACTGGCTGTTGAGGTGCAGCACAATCGGCGTCTGGCGATGACTGACAACTCAACGGCGACGGCAGAAGGTGGACAAGGCAGCGCTGATGGAGCTTCCAGAGCCGGCCTCGTCGAGAATCCTCCCTCCTCCACCGCTATTGGCGTCAGCGACAGAGGCCGTCCCCGCAATACTTCAGGGTCTGTCTTCTTTTATCCGCATTCGCGCGCTCTCTCTCCTTATAATTCTACCCTTATTACGATGATCTGATTAGTGAAACAATAGCTGACGACACTAACCTCCCACCCTTGATCTGCCGCTTCTAGTGGATTGACAGACCTCAGTTCTTCCGTGGATCAGCTCTCGCTGGACGAGGGTACAATCGGAGATCTCGCGGAAGGAGAAGAAGCTCTGCAATCAGACACCGAAAGTGAAGGTAGGTAGTCAATTTATACACTTCTACCACAACTGGCTTATACGCGTTTTTGTGTTCTCTGCAGTATCATGGATGGTTTCGGTTTCTTCTGGTCACCTGACCAGAAGTGGCTATTCCAGTCTCCATAATCTTTGTCGACCGAATACTTTCGAACCCACTTTCATCCAAAGTCTCCAAACTACATGCCGTATGCATTATGCCTATAAGGAGGACGTCAAGCAGTTCTCATTGAATGCTATGGTGGATATGCAGTATGTGTTACAGTTGGTAGACAACATTAGTAATTTGAGGGATACAATCCATTATGAATGAACATGTTACGGTCTTAAAAATCTCATGAGTAGCAATTTCTTTAAAGCCGAAAGATACCCTTTCTTCAAGCATGTCATTTGAAGAAGGCTTACTTCCCTTCTAAGCAAGTGCATGAAATGATTTTTTGGCATGTGTTCTACAGAATATATATTTGACTTTATAAGAGAATCACAAACCAATAGCAAACAGTGCAATGTGGCTCATGCAGCTCATTCAAAACGTCCCTACTTGATGTGACTGCAATACCTAAGGATGATGCTGCACAGCGCGTTAGTATTACAATCCCACCTTAGTTAGTTTTTCGCGTCGAAAACTATCATACCGTCAAAAACTAAGGCATACCTAACGTTGTAACAAGATCCCTCGAGATGTGCACGTTATAAAACATACTACTCCCTTTTTCCAGTAAGTTTATTTTTTAATTGTTTGTAAAATTCCCTGTATGTCTATAAATTTCTCTTGCCATGTTATTGTAACCATTAGGGAGTTCAAAGGCGTTCGCCTACCCTTTTCTTAATAAAAATGATTTGACTTGGGTGATTTCGATTGGGCTTTAATGAGATAGGAAAGTCACTGCACAGTAGCCGATGCAAGCGAAATGCGAGTCCCAGAATGTAGTTGAGAAGACGAAAATGCGATTTGTTAGTTATGCGGCTGCTTGTGAGGATTCTAGACAGCGGAGTTGTTGTGGTCGAGGATGAGCGATCTACTGTTATCACAAACACTAACATTGTTCCGTCTAGGGGAATTAGGCCACCTACTGTTGGGAGCAAGTTGCCGTGGATTGACTATTTACTTGCGTTTGAACATTTTGACCGTACCTAAGGGTGTGGGCAGCGAAGTGATGTGTACGGAATTGTCGTTGTTCGTGTCAGCGCGCGGGAGTACC